GGGGGGCAAAAGCAAAAATAAAAATCGAGCAGGGAAAATAGAAAGAAAAAAAAATCGTGCACCAGAAATGTTTGAAAAAAAAATTCGTGCAGAGACTTTTCAATAGGGAAAATTACAGGGCCTATCGGAGGTACAGTGTAAATTTTTCACCTCCCCTCCCTTTAACTTAAGCAAGGCAAGCTGGTGGGGCGGCTTGTTTGAAAGAATGGTTGGATTGGTGAAGAATTCGCTTTACAAAGTTGTTGGTTCAGCTAAACTCACTTACAAAGAGTTGCAAGATGTATTATTGGACATACAAATAGTACTGAATACCCGCCCTTTAACGTATTGTGAAGATGACGTGCAACTTCCGGTTCTCACACCAAACCTCCTGATATTGGGAAAAGCAAATTATCTATTAGAGTTGCCTGTCGAAGAAATTGAAGAAGACGATCTACGAAGGAGAGCAAAACATTTAAAGAAGTGTAAAGATGCGTTATGGCGTCGTTGGCGAAATGAATACATGAGAGCACTTCGAGAGAGACACAATTTACGACACCACGGGAAAAGTGCACGATTGCAAGAAGGCGATGTAGTTCTTATCAAGGGCGATGAAAAGAACCGAGGCAAGTGGAAGATTGGAATCGTGGACAAACTAATACCTGGAAGAGATGAAATTGTGAGAGCGGTGAGACTGCGTGCAGGAAAGAGTTACCTCGAAAGACCTATTCAGTTTCTATATCCAATGGAGCTACACTGTGAAGCGAAGAAACAAAATCAAGGAGAACTGAACCCCGAAGCCAGAGAGTTTAGACCAAAACGAAGAGCAGCGGTTGAAGCATTAAGGAATATTCATCAGATGCAGGAGACTGAAGAGGACGGTGACTAATAACTTTGCATGGGTATAAGTAAAACTGTAAGTGACTTGATAAAGCGAACAACAGTTAGTCAAACTTAGTTAGTTTATATTTCAAATAAGGATTATTTAAAATAGGGGGAGTGTATCGTGAACGTTTATACAGTTACATTTATAGATCAGTAGTGTTAATATTATTAAGGAAATGTACAATTTGATTGACACTTCGGATATAGTATATAACATGTGAGCGAGCGTTGACTTTAGAACGGGAATTATAACTTAAACAAAACGTGATATTATAAAGTCTTTACTTCTTCGAACCGATTGTGGGAATCAAACTAAACTTCACCACAGTCGGCCAGAATGTAAACGGAATCGCCTATCTCCGAATGTTCAATGAATTTGTCTTCCCGCAACTAGCTGAACGTTTTAATAATCAGCATTGGGAGGGAATGTTTCGGGGTCTATGGTGGGCTCAAGACGGCGCGCCTGCACATCGCCTGATCGCAGTCAGAGATCGGCTGAATGCTGTGTTTGGGAACAACCGTGTCATTGGGCTGGGTCATAATGTTGAATGGCCACCTAGGTCACCGGACTTGACACCATGCGACTTCTTTTTGTGGGGGTATATTAAAGATAAGGTATTCTCAAGTCCACCGCGCGATATTGACGAGTTGCGCCAAAAAATCATCCGAGAATTTAACGCTTTGCGAGAGCAGCCTGCCTTCGTTACACGGGCAGTTCGAGATATGCACAGGCGAACAATGCTTTGTGTTGCAAGAGAAGGGGGACACGTCGAAGGTCACGGCGCTTGATGATTTTGTAAATAATTGTTAATGTGTAAATAATTGCGCTTGGAAAAACTGTAAATACTATCTAAACTGTAAATAATATAAATTTGTTTGCTTATAAGTACATATTGATTAACAGACACTAAAAGGGCTAGCATAATTTCTTGCATAAGATTTGATTCTAGTTTTAATATGCATTCGTGGGTTTAGTACTTTATGCCTGACATAACGAGTTTACGCTGAGTATTAACATTCATTATAGCAGTTATGTCAATCTTTTATGCACTCGTGGGATTAACTTAGTGCTAGGGCATTGAAAATCGAACAATACGTCAATTTCAATGATTTTGGGTTTTTTTGAGACACCCTGTATAACGTTTTACGCATTCCAGGGCTCATTAGGGAGTTAAAGCATTCAAATTCGAACATGCGGCACTAGCGCTTGACTTCAAAGGGTAGCCTTTTTTTGGGACACACTGTATAACTTTACTCGTACATGTAGGCGGAAATGCCGGAAATTTTATTTGTAGGCGGGCACCGCATTTAGTACTGTGTCTGGTTGTACTATTATCGATCCGGATGGCAAAAAATAGATGACCTGCAATTATACTTTTCAGGGAAAAGTCAGGTCAAAAGAGAAATTAACAAATTATAGCAACATTCTTGCATTCATACATATTTCAATTTTAAAAGAAATGTCTGCTAAACTTCTTTAATGATATCCATGATCTCAAAACCATGCTCTCAAATCCATTTTAATATCATGTCCAAACTGTGGAGCACTAAAACACATGTTAAAGAGTCAGCAATTTTTGTGCAGCCAATCACTTTTAAGAACAAAAGCTGTAAAAACTTTTAGATGAACTCATTATAATGCTTCTTTGGAAACTTGAGAGATGTATTAAATTTTAGCTGCATTTTTCTATAAATCATGTTGCTCCTCACTGGGTGTTTGGAAAACACAGACCAAGAAATATCAGACCTCAGACCCGGAAAACTCAGACCCGGAAAATTCAGACCCCGAAAATTCAGACCCCGAAAATTCAGACCCCGAAAATTCAGACCTCGAAAACTGCATCATTTAAATTTTGTCACTGTTTCATTTAATAATAGACTTTCTCACGCCGCCATTTTTGGGTGGCATTTCAGCGTCTGCGAGATAAGTCCACATAACAGCGACTTTTTATAATTTTTTGTACGAATGATGGTAAGTTTGCTCATAGACGGCCCAATCTCAGAATGAATGATCAGGTGTTGCGGACTTTTAACGGTTTTTGTAAACAAATTTATAGTCAACCAAAACTATTTTAAAAACATTCTTAAATTAGTCAAATAAATACATTTTAACAATAAAATATAGTTGACATGATAGTATAATACCTTTGCAGTCTTTAATTACTCCATGAGCTCATTTAGAGCGGTTGATTAACATTTTCTGTGGTCTATATTGTACATATAGATGAGCACACACACAATGTAGGCCACAGAAAATGTTACATCAACCGCTCTAAATGAGTTCATGGAGTAATTAAAAGAATGCAAGGTATTATACTATCATGTCAACTATATTTTATTGTTAAAATGTATTTATTTGCCTAATTTAAGAATGTTTTTAAAATAGTTTTGGTTGACTATAAATTTGTTTACAAAAACCGTTAAAAGCCTGCAACACCTGATCATTCATTCTGAGATTGGGCCGCCTGTGAGCAAATTTACCATCATTCGTCCAAAAAATTATAAAAAGTCGCTGTTATGTGGACTTATCTCGCAGACT